TATATATAGCATATATTGTATATATACTTTGTATAAAATAATATGTGACTATTTTAACTCAATCTTTACCATAATATGCAATAAAAATTGAATGCCATTAAATATTTTTCTGTAATACTATATTAATAATTGCTTAGAACTATACCTCATAGAGGTACCATAAAATTTTTTTTAATCAGCACCTTATTTCAGGATATTCACATTGTTTCCAATTGTTTTTCTCAATGAAAGAAACTCTTCATAATTTTTAGAGTCTTCATTGTTTGCAAAAATTTACAATACCCAATATTTATTTTTATATAAGTTTTGCAAACATCAAAAGACACATTAAAATAAACAAGAACTCCTTACCCTGAGGAACCAAATGATTGACATAAAAACATATTCAAAGAACCATAAAATAATGCTTATGAAAAATAGCCATAAAATGGCTATAAAATGGCTATTACAATTTGCATACATATGACACCTATGGAAATGTAGATAAATTATGTACCATCTATCTGCACACACATCAGGGCATCGCTGCACATAGGTCTGTGTGTGCACAGCTATAGACACGTGAGCGATCAGATGGTGCTTTACTTCACAGGACAGGTTGCTGTTAGCTTCCTTGGACTCCTATCCCAGGTCTATAGATTCTACATAGGTGACTTGGAGCAAGTTACTTAATTCCCAGGGAGATAATAGCAGTTACTTCGTAATGTTGTTGAGAGGATTAATTTATATTTACATGTACACTTTTAACACAGTGCCTGGTAATCCATCAAAACATGGCAGCCATGACCATCTCCTTCCTATAAAAGTTCTCAGGAACTTCAGTTAGTTCAGAGCATGAAAGCAGATAATGAAATGAAAGTAGCACTATGCTTGAAACCCAAGAAAATCAGAAACTAACTTTATTTTTTCTACTTAATGGCTATTTGTTTTGAGGGGAGTCAACGAACATATTTGGCATTTTTTAGTTTAAAGTAAACTAGACTAGAAAGGGGATCCAAAAAGTTCTTAAAGGCTTTTCCACCGCATAAAACTATGTTTTATTTGAATTGTGCTAATTGTAACTTTGGAAGGCTAGTTTTAAGTGTACATGATACTGATGAGCTCAAGTGGACTCTCATGACATAATAGGTTAACAGAGCTTGAAATGTACAATTAGCACCTAGGGAATGAATTGTCATGAAAGATGCAGGGTTGTTTATAATTTTCACGAGTGGCTTTTGCTTTAATACTTTACAAAACATCGGATCTCCTATTGACAACATGCTTTAATGGTATTTCAATAATTTCTTGAGACATGTAGTTTGTTTTTCTTTGGATAAGATTTGTTAGGAATGGTATCATGCCAAGGATCTGTCATTCAAAGACCACTCTTCCTGACCAACATTTTGCAGGTGTCCATCTATGCATCCCCAGACAAATGGAGTCAAACTCATTATGCTTTGGAGGCATCATTGAAGCTACTTGATTTTTATGAAAGCTACTTTGATATCTACTATCCACTCCCAAAACTGGGTAGGTGTCTTTATTTTTGCTTATAGAATTTGCTTTGAGTCCCTCCCCCTTTAGATGTAATTTAAATGAGCACTCAGGAGGTTACTTAGTACAGGAAGCAATAATTTGTACCTCAGAGAGGGTCCTTGAGTGTAGAAAAGTATTTACGAAAAGCCTAAGTAGTGTGGATAGTTCCTCTATTCTTTTATCAGGTTTAAAATTAAAATAGCTGCATTCCATATTGGGTTTAATTTGGTGAATTTTCTGGAGTTCGTTTTTTTTTATACCATATTTGTAAAAGACCAGCAATGTTTCATAAAAGTTGCCACAGATTTATGTAAACAGCTGAAAATTGTCCCTTCATCTCTTATCTGTAGTGTAATTGAGGCTAGAAAATAAGAAAGACCGTGGTACAGATTTTTAAAAAATATTTGGAGGAGATAGATAATTTGCATGTGGTAGTAGACCTTTATGTAAGAAAATACAGTCAATCTTGGTTTTAATTTTCTATCTTAAAAAATAAGATAGAAATATCATAATATTGCAGAACATATAAAAACTATGATTTAATTTTGTAGCTTATATAGATTACTTTTTAAGAGTTTCTGACAGTGACAAAACATTTATTTCCTTTGGGGTGTTAGGAAATATTCCTCCTTATCATATCCTTCTCCTTTCCCCACAACCTCCATTCAATTCTTTTTTTAGAGAAGGTAAAAGGGAACATTAAAATACACCAGGAGCTTATAACTATAGTTGATGAATCTCACTGTATTATTAGAGTGTGGATTCTATATACCCCTTAGCATACCCCTTAGCACAGATATACTAACTTCAGTTACCCACAATCCACTGCTCTCCTCCATGTCAAAAGTCAAGGAAAGATTAAATAACAGCAATCAACAATCTGATGTTGTTCTTGAAAACTGCAACCTTGAAGAGTATATGAAATGTATTTTAAAGCTAACTGAAAAGAAGCATGCAGCTTAAAAAAAATAGAGCCGATTAAGTGTCTCTAATGGCTTTGAGAAATAATCCAACTAATAGAAATTCAACAGTACAATTTAGGAAAGGAGTCATTTCCACATTTGAAGTGCTAATGAATACCGATCTTTATTAGTGCCAACTTAGTTTCTTATTTTGTTATAAGTATTTGTTTTTATACACTGGCATTAACTAGTACTAATTCCAGACAACGCAATTTAAACCAAAGACGTGGTTCATTACAAACTTAAAAAAATTATCTTTCTTTTCAACTGAACAGTACTTCTTCCAAAATGTCATGGCAAAATAAAAAAAAAAATCAAGATCAAATATTAGCCAGAGATTTTAAATTTCTAACTTACGTGAAGTCACCGGCAAAAGATGCATACACACACACATACACACACACACATACACACACACACACATACACATACACTTTCTCCCCCACCCATGACTTAGTTAAGAGGTAGAGAAAATATCAATGTTGAGAGGAAATTGAGGTAAAAACTTTTTGAAAAAAACAATGGTTAATGTCAATAGGGTACTTCAACTGCAACTAAAACTGTATTGATAGAATATATTCTACTTGACATGGGTACTGACTATTTTTAGTGCAACTACAAGACACTATGTCAATGTTAAGATATTCTTGATGTTTTTTGAAAGTCTGCTATATATATACTGCAAGGATCATAATGTATTTGAAGAGGAAGCAAATCCCACTTCTGGTATGGAAGCCATAATGATCAAGTATGGTTGTTCTTATGTTTTAGATCTAGTTGCGATTCCTGACTTTGAAGCTGGAGCCATGGAAAATTGGGGCCTCATCACATATAGAGAAACATCACTGCTCTTCGATCCAAAGACCTCTTCTGCTTTTGATAAACTATGGGTCACCAGAGTCATAGCCCATGAATTAGCACACCAGGTACTTGGTACTCGTGACATTTTCTTAGTATCAGTCCAAAAGAGCATTATGCAGGACACCACCAATCTTCCTAAAACAACATAAAATTGTATTATTTTATCTCTAGAGGGGATCTTATGGATTACCAAACTAGACACAATATGTCAAGTAGCAGAGGGCTACAGCTCTAGACAATGGGACTCATACAAAAAATTTATCATGAGAGAAGTGATCGCTTTATTTGTCTAAAACCCTTCAGGGTAGACCCTGCAAATGTCATTTAGTAGTGAAGGGTGGCAACTATGCAAATTCATAGAACACAGAATTGGAAGCCCTACAAAAAATATTAAATATATTTTTCTTATAGCCTTAGTACTGTGGCATTCCAAAATCAAGCTTCTTGAAACTTTGTGAGGATTACAGATGTCTGTTCCTGTCGTATAGTAGGCCCTCAATTAGTGTAAGTTATTAATGATGATGACAATGCCCACTACTACTGCTACCATTACTTGCAGAGTAAGATTTCCAAGGCCCACTTATTGACACTGTCTTACATACAAATATGGAGCAAAAAACTAATACTATAGATATTAGAGACCATTTCTACTCTATTTATTTCTGAAAATCCCCAGTAGCACAGTGAATTATTTAGAGCCCTAGAAATTCTCTTTCACCATGTAGGTAAATATCATGACAATAGAGAACCTGATAATTTCTCTTCTTTTTAATTTTTAAGTTTACCTTTTATTATCATTATAATAATGTCTTTTGTTTTTTTTTTAAGCAGTGAACTAAATACCCAATTACATAGGAGCTATGCTCTGCACTGCACTATGTGGGCACCTTTTTCAGATTCAGGATCTCCCCACTGGCCCATTATAGAGATTTTGGATAAAGCACTTAACTGAGCCTAGAGATTCCTAATCTTTCTACCCAGTGTTCATAGGGAAATGGTCGGAGAGCTCTAGTTCTTCAGCTCCACGCTCCCTCTGAGTTTTCCTTTAATAGCTTTCCTTTTGTGGAAATGCAGAGTGTATGAATGGATAAAGCATCAGGCTCCACTAGAATTTTTTGGCTTGACTATTCTGTCTCCATATGACCGTGTCACTCCTCTGTGAAAACCCCTGGTAAAAACTCCCAGTGCCAACTGGGTGGGTCAAGGGTCCCCAGAATGGCATACAAGGTCCCCATGACAGCCCCTCTCCACCTCTCCAGCCTCATCTCTTACTGACACCCTAAGTTTTAGCCATCCCAGACCACTGCCATTTCCTGAACATGCTAGGCTGTGTTGCTCCTCTATGAGTTTGTTACTACTGATCTGCCCAGAGTACACACCACTCCCAACATACCCAAGACCACTTGCAAGACTCAGGAAATGAATCATTTCCTAACTAATCTACAAACTCTCCAAGCAGAACTGATTCTTTCCTGCTGGAACCCTCTGTCCCTGTACAGACATTGATCCTGGCACCCTGATGCTTTATTGCATTATTTGTCTGCTGGCTGACCTCCATCATTTTTAATGAGACAGAGGCTGTATTATATGTATTCACATTTCTAATATATGGCTTGGTACCAGGAACATAGGTTCTCAATAGATACTCGTTGAATGAATGAATAAGCAAACTACTCTTGCTAACTAAAAAAAGTGGCCAGAATCAGCTCAACCTGTATTTCTAATATTCATCATTTCTATAATTGAGGAAACACCACCTGTCCCTTCTCACAAATGTCCTTGGGAAGATTGGTGCCCACTTGCAAAATAATCTGAAGGTCATCAAAAAAGGAATAGAGCTCAAACATTTTCTAAAAGCTACAGATGGAGCTGTTCTCTGTAACTGTATCAAGGCTCTTCTGGATCTTAAAATCTTTTAGTTTCCCATCTTCCTGGAGATGGCAATCCTAAAATAGATAAACTAGATGCACTGTATTGGGTATATAGGCTAAATAAATAAACAAAATATAAAAGGACACAAAAATAGTAATATTTAAAACTACAGATCAAATATAGGTCAATGGTAGAATTCTATTTAGATTATCCTTATACATCCTTTTTATTTTATGTACATAGTTAAAATCTTAGACCTTTATTCACTTTAGTGGCCAAGTTAATCCCTGGAAATGTCAGGGCAGAGGTTAACACCAAATATGCTCATCAGTAATACTAAGTAACAATTTGAATGTCCTAAATGAATTCTTAGGATCCTCTTAAGTACCTACTCCTTAAGTAAAGAGGTAACTTCACCAAGGACATTTTGACTTATATTTTTCCTTAGACCATCACCATATATCAAAGATAAGCTGAGATTATAGTTGTGCAAGACACAAACACACCCCCCCCAAATGTTTTATTTTCTTCCAGAATCTAATAGCTAAGAAGTATTCAAAGGATAGAATGAACATTGGAGAGTTGGAAGCAATGGGAACAAAAAAGAAAAGTGAAGCAAACAAAAACGTGGTAGTGAGACAAAAAGGCAGGGAACTCAGTTGAATAACACTAGTGAGTCGCAAGAACTTTTAAAACATGCAAAGCCTGACTATTTAGTCAGGGGCACTGACCTCTTCTCCCTTAGATGATCAAATTAAAAAGTGATGACAACCAATACAATAGCTGTCAGGTCTGAATGAATCAAAATTACACCTATTTTTTGTCAGATTGGCAAAAAATATATTTTGTGTGTGCCACGGGATTTTAATTATCTTATATATGCCATGAGATGAAACAGGTAGAAGGAAGTTGTTCAGAAAGAAAAGGGTAGCTAAGATAGAGGAAAGGCCTTCTTTACTAAAAGAAGGAAATTGGCATCCATTATATGTTTTACTACAGTTAGCAATTACCTGTATTTTTTGACTTTGAATAACATGGAGTTTTTACCTCCTAGTGGTTTGGCAACCTGGTTACAATGGAATGGTGGAATGACATTTGGCTCAATGAGGGTTTTGCAAAGTACATGGAACTCGTCTCTGTTAATGCGACATATCCAGAGCTACAATTTGTAAGTTCACAGTTTTGTACATCATACCATGTGCCCTAAGCAATTGTCGATTTACTGTTAAAATGTTTGTGAATGCTAAAGAGAAAGCAATATGGCATCGTGTGTTTTTGAGCCTATGATGTTTTCTTTGCTATAGAAAGCAAACGGTATCAGTTTGCCAGGCCTGCCATGATACAATGCCAGACGGGGTGGCTTCAACAACAGCGATTTACTTTCTCATAGTTCTGGAGACTAGAAGTTTGAGGTCAATGTGTCGGCAGGTTTGGTTTTCTCTGAGACCTCTCGCCTTGGTTTACAGAGGCCTCCTTTTTTGCTGTATCTGCACATAGTCTTTCCTCTGGTGTTTCTCTGTGTGTCCAAATTTCCTCTTCTCATAAGGACACCAGTCAGGTTTGATTATGGCCCACCCTACAGCTTCATTTTAACTCAGTCCCCTCTGTGAAGGCCCTATTTCCAAACATAGTCACCTGCTGGAGACTAGGGCTTCACCTTAGGAACTGGAGAGGGGCATACTGTTCAGCCCATACCATAAATTCCCCAAGCAAAAAAATTTTGGACAGAGAACTCCAGTAGCACAAATACTCAGTGTGCATGTGGAGCGAGAGGAAGAAATTTCTCTGCCCATATACAGTGATATAGGATAAGATAATGCCCGTGGCTTAGATCCGTGCAGAGTTCCTGGTATGTAACCTGAATTAGGCATGACTGGGGGCACGGTCCTCTAGAATTTACAAAGGGCCTATTGTTCACTTCCCCAAAATGTATAAAACGATTTCTTCAATGCTCTCCCTTCAGGGAGCACACCCTTGCTTTTCCCTTCCCCTTCCCCTCCCTGCCCCAGGCGTGTTACCTTTAGTTTCCTCACTCTCAAGCTCCAACGGCCCTTCCTTGACCTCTGGAACTTGTTTGCTAAACCCATTTCTTCTAGGACTTACTTTGTCTACCTCTGTAATTTACCCAATAAATGTTCTCTTACCAAAAAAAAAAAGATTTCTTCAAAATTGTCTTTTTATAGACACAGGGGATCTAAACACCACATCAAACTGGTTAATGATTAGCTCTTTGGAGTAGGCATTGGTCTAGTACAGCGGTTCTCAACCTGTGGGTCGTGACCCCTTTGGGGATCAAACGACCCTTTCACAGGGGTTGCCTACAACCATTGGAAAACACATATATAATTACATATTGTTTTTGTAATTAATCACTATGCTTTAATTATGTTCAATTTGTAGCAATGAATATACATCCTGCATATCAGATACTTACATTATGATTCATAACAGTAGCAACATTACAGTTATGAAGTAGCAACGAAAATAATTTTATGGTTGGGGGTCACCACAACATGAGGAACTGTATTAAAGGGTCGTGGCATTAGGAAGGTTGAGAACCATGGATTCAAAGTCAGTGTCTTATTGCTATGTGATGAATACATGTTTTAGTCCCAAAGCTTCATATATAGTCTCACTTATAAAATGCATATAGTGCATCTCCCAAGCAGGCACATGATGGATGTAAGTTCCTGGCATGTAGCAAGTGTTCACTAATGGGAACCATTAGTGTTAGTTCTGTATCCAAAAGCTTGGTAGCTGGTAAACATTCATGACATATCTGAGGGGATGCTGCATTTATACCTTTATGAGTAGAGAATTGTTGAAAGGGAAATATATAAAGGGAAAGAAACGTATAATCAATTGTCAGAAATATTAATTGAATAATTACTTCTAAGAATATCTTGCTAAACCTAGTATGTTCTCTATTGCTTTGAGAATGTCAAATTGAAATTGAAAAAAATGTTCTCTTCTGTTTAGGATGACTATTTTCTGGAAGTGTGTTTTGAAGTCATTAAAAGAGATTCACTAAATTCATCCCATCCTATCTCCAATCAAGCAAAAACCCCTACTGAAATACAGGAAATGTTTGACACAATTTCCTACAACAAGGTAGATAATGCTGTGGGCAGTAGAAACTGTTTTCAGGAGAACGAAAAGGAGGCCTATAAAATTAACAGCTGAAGTTGATGCTGCCGGGTTACTGTCACCTGTTTTACTTTTTATTTTATTTGCTGTTCATTTTTCAGACATTCTATAAGTTCTATAAAATTAAGCTTCCTTTAAAAATATGTCATACTAAAAAAAATATATCCCCCTACCTTTTCCTTTATATATTCTTTTCTTTTTCTCTCTCTTTAGGGAGCTTGTATTTTAAATATGCTCAAGGATTTCTTGAGTGAAGAGAAATTTCAGAACAGAATTATTAACT